TCAAAATGTTTGGAGTTCTAATGAATTTTGTTGTGGCAAAAATGAAAAAAGCAAAAAAAAAAAAAAAAAAAAAAAAAAAAAAAAAAAAAAGCGGATGCACGCTGTGTTTATCTAGTGAACACAAATGGTGAGCGAGACGGAAAACGTCTTCAAAGCTCATGAAGTGCAGCCGAGGTCCAGGCTTCTAAAAAGCATCAGACGCAATGAGGATTTCTGTGGACTCGCTTCAAAACATAACATCTTAGTGTCAGCAGGGGGCGGTGTCAGCTTGAAAATAAACTCCATCAAAGAAGCCACAGAAAAACGTGCAATTCTTAGATAATATCAATACATGGAAAAAGTTTTTTTTTTTTTTGTTATGAAGAAAACACAGGAAAGTGGAAAAACGTGCAACTTAAATAGCGTTACCATTTAAAATGTTACAAAAAGGAGAAATGGTTGAAACGTTACAGTGCTGGAACTGAAGTTGATTGTGTTGCACAAAGTCAAACTAACATCCGTAGATGATGTCAGAATATGACCACATAGGATCGTCAGGTGGCTCTGCCACACCCCCTAAACATGCTCAAAAACTTACGATTTTTATAACTTTTAGTCACCCGTCCGTTAGGGGGTTAACATTTTATTCTTATGTCACCAACCAAACTCCTTCTTTGGTTTGGAACTTTAATAGTTAAATTAATAGTCACCCCACTGTTGCCAACTTAGCGACATTCTTGCTATATTTAGCAACATTTCAGCAAAAAGAACTTGTATCAGCCAAAATGGCATCGGCAGGTCAGGCTTTTTAAAGAGCGGTAATCGGCGATCGGCCAGAAAACTGCAGTCGGTGCGCCGCGACCTCCAACCCCTCCACTCCTTCTCCAGGGATGAAAGAACGGTGGATGACTGAGATGACTGTACTTTTATTTACAGTCATCTCTTTTGCTTTGTTCACATTCAAAATAAGGACCGGTCCTTTTCAAGCAGAGTGAAGTGCTTTGGAGTCAACAATTGCTGAATCTGAAACTTCAGATTGTAGCTTTTTGATTTTTATTTCCATTCAATTACACAGAATAAATGTGTCATTAAAGGCAAGAAATTCAATTATTTATTGTAGCCCTTTGTTATACCACAGAAAGCCAGCATTTGAACAGCGCTGTGTGCACTTTGGACAAACACGACTTTTCCTTCTTTATTATTCTTCAAAGCTTCTAATTGAAAACTAGAGGAGCAGAGATAAGTGACAGACTGTAGGACATGTTTGGGAAAGCTGGCACCGCGGGGGCAGAGCCAGCCGCGTGTTTATTTAAAGGATTTCCTTTCCTCTAAACTGTGTGGCTGCTGTGTTGCCTTTGTTTTAGCGCGACGGAATCAAAGAGCTCCTTTCGGTTTTGTATATTTTTTCTTCACGTTTCACCCAGGCAGGCCCGTCGCAGGCTGGACGTAATGTTCTCTGAGAAAGCTTTTCTAAGTGACTCTACGGGTCAAATTGTCGAGTGGGGGAGTTTTAAGGTCGAAGCGAAGCTTAAAATCAAAATCAGAAGTGGAGTCGAGGAAAACCATTTCTTATTTTTATTTGCTGAATGGGACAAAAAAAAATCTGTAAATTCAGTTCCAGCTCCTTCCTGGCTGGATGATCAGGGAGAAGAGTTCAATTCAAGATAAAGCAATATCTTTGCTTTATCTTCCGTCCATAAACCGCGACAGAAACGTGGCAGAGCAAAACTCCTCAGTAGCTGCTTTTCCATCATAAATATGGCAAAACTTGGGGGAATATTCCATGAATGTTGAAAACGCACAATTTCACGATTGTGAAATAGCATTTCTTATTTCCGTTAAATGAAAAACGCAATTAAAATCACACATGAATGAGCCTGTTATTGCGATATGTCATTAAAAATCATGCCAGGCCATCATCCTCCTACCACTTCCTGTTATCTTCTTCGTCTGTTCCGCCTGCAGTAACTTCTGGTTGTTGATCACATGACTCGTGTGACGCAGAATAATGTTTCATTTGCTGTTTTGTGAAATACATGAGTTTTGATGCGACCAGAAAAACTACCTAATCATACTCTTTTGATGGAAAAGCTTTTCTTTTTTTTTAATTGCCGTGTTTATATGAAGCGATCTTATTTTCATGACTCTAGTTTGTGAAATTTTTTGATCAATGGAAACGCAGCTCAATTTGGTCTGATAATTAGATTTGTTTGGTGATCTGACACATTTAAGTAGCGGTAACAAAAGAAATTCACAACAATGCTTTTTCTCTTCTGGAGTAGAAAGGACTTTTTCACAGCACTGCACGTTCCTTGTCACGGAGATGAAAATATCTGCAGTATTTCTGCTTTTATTATTTTTTTCTCCCTTCTCCTTAACTGGGATCTTGGCAAAACAGGCACAGCTCTGCAAGTTTATAGGCCAACTGACTCGCTGTGTATTTATAAACCGACCGGACTTGGAGGACAATGAGAAATGTTTGTGAACTCGTGCAGCCGGCTCGGTCAGCTGGCTGCTTTGTCTTGTAGTTGGAAGCAGATTGGGTCCGGAGGGATTGGTGGGCCCTTGGACTCCGACAGGAATCGGGAGGAAGAGTCTCAGCCAGCACCGGCCGCCTGCTGGACGGTGATTCGGTGATCTTCCTGCTCCGTCCTGTGATCTTCTCCTCCCCAGGCTTTTCATTTGACTTGTTGTTTTAGCTCTGAAGCCAGCGCAGCTACGGATTATCGTGACCACACAGGAACCGTCGGACATGGACCAAGTGTTTACAGCGCTGCGTTTTTATGGAACGGGAGGAGGACGCACCCAAGACACACACGATTGTGCGCAGCCTCTTCAGATTTAACAATAGCTTATGTCTTTCCTCCGACATCATTTGTACGTCTTTAGTGGCTGCACGTTTTTATCCCCAGACAGGATTGACCTTCACCTCCAGGTTCTGACATATTAATCATCTGTCAGGTTAATATGTTTAGCTGTTCTGATCGGTCAGTAATAGAGTAACATTTTTACCAAGTTCTACTTTACTCTTGAGTAATTTCTTGAATGGATATTTGTTACTTTTAAAGCATTGCTTCTCTTCCTTAACCTTGCTCTCCTAATCAAAAATTGTATCCCTTTTATGCTTTAGCAATATCTGAAGATGATTTATTTTATTTTGTGCCAAGTGGTACCGACCACTTTTTGTCCGGGGATAAGATATGTCTCCCCAAAATTGGGAGACATTTTTTCCTCCCCAACCAACATCAACATTCACTGAAACGATGAAAAAATAACCCGACACACTCCTCCTGCAAGGTTTTCACCTTTATAGTCTATTTATTTTGGTTCTTTATACACGTTGGTCCAAACACCCAAAAAAAAAAAAAAAAAAGGCACAAGCCTAACTGCAGGAATGTAGACCAGCGCCAAGGTCAGCAGAGGGCAGAGAGAGCGAAAAACGAGAGGTGGCACAGAGCCACAGTTCACACACATGGTTCTGGTTAGTAGACGCCCATTATGGACAATGTGGTTCAGAAAGAACTTTACTTTTCACAGTCTGAAGGCATTTTTAAGACACTTCTACTATCCACCAAAACGTCACTTATTTTATACAGAGAGAATACAAACATCGGGAAAAACACTCAACAACAAGCTTTTTTTTCTACAAACACCCAGAGAACAGTGTGTCCTATTTGTTATGCACAGTCATGCAACTCTGCTTTCTTAATTTCATTAACTGATGGTTTTGACATCACGGTTCTTCAGGACCATCCATTCCGTGGCTTCATATGAAGCCTATATGAAGTTGAACTGGTAAACAGTCAGATTCTGGTTCAGTTCACGTTTGATGACAGCAAATGAGCCGAAACTTCCCTTTTGAGATAAACTCTTTCAAGAGCCCCAGTATGCAGGCAGCCGTCCTCCAGCTGTATGGACAAGCCCAGGGAAGACGGGGAAAGTCTTGAGGGAAGAGACTTTCACCTTTCACCTTGAAACCCAGACGCCCGCCTGTCTGGATTTCAAGTTCACGTTTAAAAATGCTTCCCCTTTTGTTTTTCTCATCTCGTTTTTTTTTTCCTCAAGATCGCTGAGTGGAACAGACACGCAGTGATGGAAAGTGGAAAAACGAGAGTTGCACAGATTTGTAGGACGTGTTGTGGCTTCTTGTTCTTGATCAGCAGCCCTCTCCCCCCCATCCCCCCACCAAGATTCAACAGTGAATTCAAATTCATGTGCATCACCTCGACAATCAGGTGTGACTTTTCTTGTATTCGTTGTAGCGTTCCTGTAACCCCAGTCCTGTCTCTCGTGAGTCTATAAGTGTGTGTTTGAGCTGCGAACAGTACGTTGAGTTGACATTGGCGCCAGATGAAAGTGCCTGCATGGTCTCGCATAATTATGTGTGGGGCGGGGGGCGTGTGTGTGTGTGTGTTTGTATCAACTTTGTGGTCATAATAATTTGCTGCGGGACAAATAAACAGTCTGAACCCAGATGCTTTGAAGGGAAGTATTGCTGTGGACACGTTGGATTAGTTCACAATCATGATGTCACTCATTCAGAAATGTTTACTTCATTCACTGGATGCCTTTCCATTACAAACATGCGCAAAACTTTGTCGATATTCTGGTGATGTAAAAAAAAGAAAAACACCCTGGGTGGTGGCACTCTTCGCATCATCTCCAAGGGCAGATGAAACCTGGCCCAATCCATCGTTTCATTGCTCCATATCCTGTGACTGTTGGTAAGAGACGGGCCACTAAATCGTCAACTTATTTTTCTTCAGCACAGGAAATTAACGTAACCACATACAAGACTCCAATCCTTCAGAACAAGACGGCAAAAAGACTTGGGACTCCTCTACTTGAAGCACGGACGGAGAAATCCCTTTCCTTGTTAAGATCAACGGTCTCAGACTCAGAGGAACTGACTCTCATCTGAAACATCCAAGGAGTCATCAGCTTGACATGGTGGAGGGGTTTCGGTGATCCAGTGAGCATTCTTGTCAAAGGCCTTCTCGTAGAATGGCTCAGAGTAAAATCAGTTCATTGATGTTAAGGAGACTGGTTGACCTCAGTCCAGGCAGTGGAGACAATGGTGGTTGACGCCAGGGAAGATGAACTGGGCCCGTAGATTCTGGGCTGTGTAATCTGGATTTTGGGAATCTCAGATTAATACCTGTTAATTTTCGGAAATATCTCCAAAGTGTTTCCTTACGCAGATTCCAGGATTTTAAAGTTCCTTAACCTTAAGTCGTATTCCGTGTTAATTTGGGGGTACACAGCGCTTAACCACATTTAATATAAAATACTCCAATATAAAACAAACAAAAGAAAGCAAAAAAAAAGAAAAAAAGTCACATTATATGTTGCTATCATATGAAGAATGTATTCAAAATATCTACAAAAAACCACATGTAGAGGTTTGCCGTATCAAAAAAGAACAAAATACCGCAAACCATTCTCTACAAAACAGCACAAAAAAACAGAGCATAAATAGACAACAGTTTTTATACAAGGCACAGTTTTGCTTTGTTTCGTTTTTTTCTTAGTGGTTTGTGTTCCTTCTCAAAGCTGCTGCTCCTCGAACAGTATCTGCGCGTACACAGTCCCGCTCCGAGACGCTTTGGCCTCTGGGATCGGCTTCACCAGGTCCAGCTCCGCGTACGTCAGATTCTCCTCCACTATCCGGGGCTGGGGACGAGACGGCGGCGAGGCGAGGGCGGAGGAAGAACATAATGACGGAGGAGAGGGGAGTCAGTGGTGAGACCAAAGCATGAGAGGCAGAAAAAAACTAAAAAGATCCATTATGAAAAACTTAATTAGGCTAATTAAAGGGCTAAAGATGGTGCAGATGTACAAAGTGCATAACTGTTTTTGGGTTGGGTAAATGTGGACATGCTTGCTGTAGCTGCCAGGAGTTCTGGGTTTAAAAGCATTTTAAAACACATATAATCAGACAACCACATCACACATTTTATGGGAGATTCTCACATTCATCTTCCACACCTTCAACTCCTTGTTGGTCTCTTTTCATAGCATGTGGACTGTGTGTGACTGAACGTTTTACACATAGACTGACCATACAAAGCCGTCCTCCCAACATGTTGGACATACGGCCTCGGTCAAAAAGGAGTCTTAAAAACAAGACTATGAAAGCAAACACTCACCAGAACCACTTTCCTTGCTTGAGGTTTTAATAGTTTGGGTTTGCGAGTTTTGTCTTCGATTGGAGCTGCAAGGACAAAACACAGATGAGTTCAGTAGAGAGCTGAATGTTCTGCTGTCAAACACAACAGAACATGTGCAAACAGAGACGCTACTGTTTCATCGCACTTGACCGTCTCAGTTCGATAAAGTTCGACATCTGGCTGACTTTTCATTTAGCGCGTGGCGCTTTTTTGTGGCAACTTTAGAAACATTCAACGGCTTCCCAGACAAATGTTTCCGTTCTTGTAAAAGCAGCACATTTACCTTTAGCGGGTATCTCTGGCGGTCTCTCCTCCTGGTAGTCTCTGCTCCTTTTCTTTCTGTATCTCCTCTCCTTCTTCGGAAGGGCAGGAGAAACGCTGACCACGCTGGTGACCGTCTCTCCTGAGCTGGAGTGAAGCCAGATTTAAAACAGTGCAGTTTTAGTTTATGTTTGTTTTTTTTCAGTTGGTTTTCATTGTCGATAGGAGAGGAATTCTGAAAGAAACTGAAATGAAAGACTCAAGGAATCCTACCTGTTCTGAGGGCTTTTGACCAAGTGGTACTGATCTGCAAAAATATAACAGATTTAGTTTAAGCATCAGCAGGACGACGGGAAGAGAACTGAATAAATGTCGTCTTCCTAAAAGTACAAACATCAATGTATTTCATTCACAATTTATCTCGTCGACCCGCACAAATTAAGGTCTACATGGAAAAGCATACATGTTTTTTTATTTTTTTATTTTAGGTTTTTAGCAAAGAAATGTATGAAGTCATGTCAAGAGGTGGAAATGTTTCCTTTGCAGAATGCTTCAAGCTCGCTCACATGGGACGGAGAACATTCACTTTAGAGATTATGGAGGGCGCAGGTGGAACTTCTTTATTAATTGGGTGAATTCCGAAGGTAATTTTTTTGCACTGCGTTTTATGTAAGGGTGTCGAAGTCAAGGGGGCTGAAAACGTTTGGAAACCATGGATCCTTCCCCCTCCATTTCACGATATCTCACGCTGGTGATCTTGATGAAATAAAACACATTTTTTACAACAAATTTCTTTTTAAAGTGTCGCTGACCTTTTAGCCTCTGCTTCCTTTGTATGAACTGGCAGGTTATGGTCACAGTGAACATGCACATGCACAGCAGACCCACAGAGCAGATCAGCACTGCACACAAGTACACATCTGAAACACAGACGCACACACAAAAAAAACGTCATATTCAGTAACTCCAGGCAGAACAATGCAGCAAATGACAAATAACGCCGAGTTATTCCAAACTGCTCCTTCAGACTGGGATATTTTAGCCAGCTCATGTTGGCCACAGACGTGAACGCGTCTGCTAAAAATACTACAGCTCACCTTCAAACAAACTCCACAGGCTTTCTTTGGTCTCGGTGGTCGGGAGAACATGCACTGCACAGAAAGAGAGGGGAGAGGAAAGAAACACGTGAGGTCTGTAGTCATCACTGTGGCTTTTTTCTCTCTTCTTTTTTTTTTATTTTGCAGCTTGATTACACATAGGCTTGTGCTTTAAATAGAGCTAACTGTAGGAAGACATGGAGCCAGAGCTGACCTCCTCCCTTGTGTAAAAACATCTAAATGTTTCACATTCATGTTTTATTTCACTTTTCATATCCCCCCCATCATCATGTCTGGATGAGAGCCTAAAACATTGCATGCTTACTTCTGAGGTTGCATGTTTTTTTTTTATCAGTTTCCTTTGGCCGCTTTAATTCTGCCATTAGAATGGCATTTTTCAAGATGGCTGCCATTTCTGAACTTTTGAAAGTCATTTATTTGAGTAAAATGAATGAACAACATACAATCCGATGTTTGAATGTCTCTCTCCTCCATCTACTTGGCTGAATCTGCTGACTTCAAGTCTTATTTACACCCTGATCATTTCAAATAAAAAGCCACTGGTGATCCTCTCCTTCCCAGTGTTTCCCATGCTCAAAGTGAAGTCCCCCCACTCCACACACACACACACACACACACACACACACACACACACACGCACACACACACACACACACACACACACACGCACGCACGCACGCACGCACACACACACACACACACACACCCAGACTCGTTCATTTCTCCACCCCATCCAACCACGGGAGTCTTAACATGGCGGTTCTGTTGTTGAGCTAGTGGCAGGAAGCTTGTGAAGTGACACCCACTAGCGCATCTCGAAATACCCACAACCCCCAGCAGCTGACGACGGGCTGGCTCGCCTTCTCGCCTGCTGGAGACTTTCTCACAGGCCAGCTGGCAGACACACAGACTAAACCTCGTGGTCGACGCGTTACCAAGACGGCACGGCATCAGGAGAAGTCTGTCTGGACAAAATTTCCTTTTCACAAGTAACGTTAATGAAAGCTCCCAATCCCGATGGATTTCTGTTTTTCTTTTCTTTTCTTTTTTTTTTTTTACATGTTTCAGATCATCGGCAAAATTGTAACATTAAACATAACCTCATTAAGAATGAGTTTTTTTTAGTTTTTTAAAATTATATTAAGGAAAACGGCTTCCTACTTTATATGTTTCAATGACTGAATGAATATGTAACGTCTTAAAATGAGTGGTATCATTTTTCACTTCTCACCATAAAAATTGCAGAAATTTCCTTTTATATAATCAGTGGGATGGAATAAAATTTGACGTGTGATTAATAGTAAATATTACATATTTACTTATAATCAAAAGGAGGGAAATTGTGGTGGAAAAATGACTAGCAGGTAACTGAGTTGCAGGTAGAAAGCTGGAAGTTGTTTTCTGCACAACATATGAATAAATACATATAAATATAAATATATGAATAAACCTGATTGAGTGATTTCACCTGACAGCGTTTGGTAAAACAGTAGGCAAAGTATTTCTAAAATTTGTAGAACTAGTTTGAACATGCCGCGTTTTGGAGAGTCAAAGAGTGGCTGTAGATTTAGTTTGAACTGGATGAAATGCGATAAAATCGGGTCCATAAGAGATAAACCTTAAAGAACTGAAAACAAAGACTCCAAAGCATGTCATAAAAGTCATGCACACGCTGACGGGGGGGAGCTACGTTGTAGTCACAGCTGTCCGGGGCCAGACTGTCAGACGCTCTGACCACCAGCTGCAGGCAGGGTGGGATTTGAACCGAAAGCCCACCAGTTACAGGACAAGCTCCTACCCCCCGAGCCACCGTCGCCCTTAAGTGACACAGAAACAATGACACGACACGTTGCCATTGTTGAAGTGGTTGCAGTTCGCCCGGTGTTTGAGTTCTTCACTTTCACAGTGAAAGTCCAGCTGTTGGGAACGTCCCTCTCTCCTGAGAGGGGATCCTTCCCACATGTCTGCAGCCGTGTAGCATGTAAGGCAGCTACATGCTGGTTCGGGAGCTGCAGCGCTCGTGTGCCATGAAACCGTTTTCCCCTCATCTTGAAAAATATCTTCTTCTTTTTATTCCCAACAAATGGCTGACCACAGCCAGAAGACCACAGTGGAGGGATTCTTTCACGTTCAGTTTTGACACAAAAGCCCGAGTTGTGTTCGGCTGCACTCTGTGTTTTAAGACTTTGTGGCTCCTTTTCTGTGCGCCAACAAAGCCAGTAAACATGAACAGGACTGCATAATGAACCTCTGTGATGGAATCGTCACTGCTGCACTGCTGATGACTGTAAATGAATGAGAAGACGAACCGTTTACTACTCCATCCACTCACTTCCTGGTGTCAGTTTTGATGGATGTCTTGCACATTTATTGCTTTCCCTTCTGATTTGCCTTTTTAAAGGTGTAAAGTAAATTTTGGCCCTTGAAACTTTTTACAGGCCTGATGAGTGTTTAGGATACTTTAACTTGTGGTGTTTTTTCTCAGAGTTTTTGGAACTTTTACCGCTATGGGATTTTAGAGCACATGCAACTTGACATATGTAACACATGTAACATATATATTTCATAACGGTTTTCCACAGAAGCTGAGGCCTTGAAGCCTGGTGTTTGCCTGCTTGATTTATTCCTCTGTGTTTTGGGGCTGAAGGAGTTGGACATAGTCCTCCATTTTCACTATTTTGTTCTCTCTGTGCATCTCGCCACTACCATTGGCAACAAAAAATAAAATCCCACATTGTGAACCATCCACTGGACAGCAGCTTTGTTCCCATTCAATTTTCATGCCAACTTTGGACAAATTTCTAAAATGTCACAAAAAAACAAGAAAACAACAGAAACCTGGCCTGTTTTCTAGTTTTGTGCCTCTGGTAAGGCAAACACCCAGCAGTGGATGGGACAGTTCACAAGTGCATTACCAGATACTCTCCCTTTCCCACATCGACTCTTTTTCAACAAAAGCCAAAAACCACATGAAGCAAGTGTACAAAAAAAAAAAAAAAGTTGATGGAAACACAACAAACGTATAAAAACCGATCATTAAAAGTTATGTGCTGTGCTGTCTGGTCGCTCCACTCTCAAACACTCAAATCCATTTTGAGAAGCTCAGAATCAATAAGACATTCTGACACCATATCTAAAACCATAATTCTTCAAAAGAGCAGAGAAACTTGTAAAGAAACCTCTAATATCTGTTACTGGTCCCAGGTGGAGGCTGTTATCGAAACCTTGAACGTCCCAGCAAACCTCCTGACCTCTTGATGAGTCGTTTATTATGGCAGTGAGCCGTGTTGCCGGGGGTTCGGTGAATGTGCCTGATTGTAAAAACACCTGGCCACCTAATGTTCTCCCACCATATGAATCCTATTAGTTCGATGTCACACACACGTATGCACATCTAATCTCCAGTGTTTTCTTGTGAGAGTCATCTAAAGCATGAGCTACGCTGCTGGGGGATCAAAAGCCCCAGAGGAGCTTTTAAACTGCTGAATGTCGAACTGAGTTATATCACCGCTTTCAGAGCTTTGCATAAATAATGGGAGGACATTTTCACCCCTGTTGTACCACAGGGGAAAAAAAAAACAATTTTTCAAACGCTGGCAAGTCGTCGTTTTACAATAAAGGTTTTTTTGAATATTAGACTATATGCAGATGATGTTGCACTTCAAAATTAACTCTATGAATTCAGAATGGAATGTAATATGTACTAGTGAAGAAAGAAGTTGCGTTCAGTGTCTTCTTCTTCAGAGGCTTTCGTGTCATTTATTTCAGTGGATCTTGGTACAGCCCCACTATATGGAGGGTGTAAGCAGTTTGGTTTGTTTGATACAGTGCAGTGTGAAAGCGAACCGCTCCATCTAACGAATGTCGCGATTTTGGTCTCCAATTGAACCGAGCCGACCAGAACATCATCTGGAAGGTATACAATTTGCCAAACAAACATCTTGCACTGTTTCTACTGAACTTGCTGAAAAATCTCTCAACATGAACAAGACGGGGCTCAGAAAGTTGAGAGCAGAAATGAAGCCCACCAAATCTTCCTCCCATTTATCTGCGAGACTCTCAAAGAATGTGTAGCTCAGCGGCTTTCTAAAGGCTGCGGTCGTGTTTTCACATGACGTCTACAGACGGTACTCGGCTTGGACCGGCCCACAGAGAACACAGCCTGTTTAGTTCGTTTCCAATCGACACACATTGTGCTAATGGCTCTCGTATCTAAATTGTTGGGGTCACAGAAATATGGTGCAGTAAGCATTTTTATTATTACTCAAACCATAATAGAGCAGGGCTTCCTTGGACTGAAATAACTTCCCACTTCCTTGACCACAGTGTGTCAGGAGCCACACATAAGGCGGCTGTTAGAGTCAAGCTTTTCCTTCCTCCCTACAACTATCTCCGTTCCGTTTTTGCATTTTGAATGTTCTTTTTATACTCCACTGTGAGAAACTCCACATTAAGGCCACCGGCAACAGCTCTGAGGGCTCTGCAATGATCCATATAACAGCTAAGACGTTCCGACTGCATCCACAAAACATGTCGAGGAAATAGCAGCGGTTGAGAATAAGACACTGGTAGATGTAAAGGTTTGTGATGTTTAGACTTTAGGTTGTGAGGCATAACCCTTCATGGTGACTCAGTCTCCATGAACCTCAGTAGCTGAAAGCTTGTTGAAGTAGAAGTTTGCTTTGAAAAAGTCCAGCTCAGCAATAAATGTGCGCGTGTCGTGGTTTTGCGAAACACGTCTTTCCGACCGGCTGAAGGACCGCGTCGTCCTGGAGCAAAAAAACCTTTGATCAGAAAGTGTGAGATTTTTCTCAACTGCCGCGTTTCCATGTTTGGTTTATGCAAGTGCACATATGCTCAAGTGAAAGCATCTCCAACGACTTCGCTTGGTTATAGAGGCACTAATCCTCGCGGCTTGTTTTATGAGCTACATTTGTTTTGTTGTGGAGGAGGAATATGATCGCAACATCAGAGAAAAACCATTGGAAAAAGGGAACATCTAGAGTCAAGTAGTGCTGCATAAAATGGAGTCAATGGCCCTCAAATAGAAACGCCAGACTAAAGTTTTCTTCTGTTGAGCAGCAGCTGGAGTTTTAAGCTATTCTGGAACCACCAGAGCGTTTGTTTAAACAACATGAAATCACAGGTACAGCTTGGAATGTGGCTTTAGAAAATAAAGCATGAGCGCACAATTACAGCGTGAAAAGGGGGGATTGAGAATAATCTGAGGACCATTAGTCAAACGTGTGAGGTGTGCCATGAGAACAACCCAGTTAATGCAGAGGAGCAACAAAGAGAAAATAAAGTTAAAGCACAGTTTATCGCTTCAGGCCAAACATTACACATTGGAACAGAATGCAGGAGACCAAATTACTAGTATTACACACCTTTGGAACATCGTTGTTCTGTTTTGTTTCAAAGACAGTGCTGTGTCTGAAATTTTTTTTGTGTGTCTCTTTTATTAGGTCTGTTTAGAGTACTAGGGCCATGCTAAGAAAAACACAGTTATGAGAATCATAATGTTATAATTTCCAAAGCAGCTACAGATTAGTGTGGTGGGACGAGAGCAACGGTGCACGGGGAGATATCTTTAAATTACTTCATTTTTGTCAAAATTAAAAGTTCAGCAAAAAAAAATGTCTGAATTAAAAAGACTACTGGAAATGAATGGCATAAATATTTGGTTGGCTTTGAGCGTTTTGTTTTAAGTGAAGCAAACCCACATGTTTGTTCTTGCACTTAAAAATAAAGAAAAATTACTGGCTGCCATTCAGCAGCAGGAATACAACACATCAAATCTTTTAAGAGTGTCTCTGGAATGAAAAGTGATGTACAGCTGTGAATCATAATCCAGAATAAAATCGGACAGTATGCAGCTGGATGACACCTCCTGAGGGTAAACATGGCTAATGAAAAGAGGAGAGGTCAAAGAGCAAAACCCTGAGGTACTCCAGGGTCCATCTTGGTTTAGGACAAGAGGTTGCTAACAACCACACTATGAGATCTGTCATACAACTGGATGGAAAACCTTAAGATCAAACCAGAAATGCCAACCCAGTGTTGGAAGTAATTGGTCTCAAAACTTGTAGGTGTACCAGTTTTGAGCTCTAACTCAAAACTGGTACAGTCTGATTCAGAGTAAATCACTCCCAGTAATGCTATCACTGTGCTGTGGTTTGCTCTAAAACCGAACTGTAATTTTAAAATGGCATAAATCTTTTTTAAAGACCTTGAAAGGAATGAAACCCTGTATGCAGGTCTATAGCTATCCAAGGGTCCAGAGAAGTTTCTTTCAAAAGCACAGAATGAAGAATGAACTTCAGCTGGACTTGTTCAAACTGACGGAGCTAAAGCATATTTTAAAACCCTTGTAAAGCAAATGTCGACAGTACAGAAAACTCCTCAATTTGTTAATTTCCCCATTTAGAGATTTCAGGAAAAAGGATTGGAAAAAGTCAAAGTAAAGAGCTTCAGTCTGAGGCTCTACGTCACAAGTGATAAAACTTGTGACCTCGATGGAAACACAAAGCATGAGGTGTAACGTTGCAAAGGGACATGGGTCCAAACATTAGAGAAAGTTTTTTGGGTTGTCTAAAAAGCCAGAACAAATTCAACCAAGTGAACCAATTTCTTGCTTTTGAAGCTCAGTGCAGCTGTCATATGAACACTCTGGGGGTAAAAGACTGACTCAAACGCATCATTAAAAGGGCAAAAAACAAGAACTTTTGAATTTTTCTGCATCATCTTTGGGCCAGAGGCCAATGCCATCCATCCCACCATGTTAAAGTCTCTCCTGCCAGTTCTTAGCAGTGAAAAACCTCAGACACTTTCTCGTTTTCCAGGATCAGTTGCTCAGCCTGCGCCGCAGCTTGGTGACATGCAGGATTCCTTTTATCTCGGGGCCTGCTCCGAACTGATGACATCTCCCCCTCCCAAATGAACAGCAGAATCGTGCCTTTTGCTCCCTGGAATCACGGCCACACAAGTTACATCACCTACTTTGTGGTCAGAAACTGCAGCTTCAGAAGACGCAACAGTTGGTTTGTGAAACAAATGGCTATTAAATTGGTGAGCTCTTCAGGGATGCGAGACATTTAATACAGAACCATATGATTCCAATTAATTCCCAAGACGAGGAAAAGGAAAATCAAGGCCCCTTACCTCTAAGCTCAGTCGCGGCGGTATAGTTGGTGGAGGCCTTCCAGCGGTCCTGGTGCTTCTTGAACTCCTGCACCCGGCACATGTAGAGTCCTCTGTCCTCCTTGGACACCTTCTGGACGAGCAGCTTGAATATCTTCCCCTGTTTCACCACCGTCAGCTTGAACTTCGGCCAGGGGAAACTCTTGGTGTAGTTCCCATAGAAGCGAGCTTTACGCATGTTGACCCGGGCGATCAGGAGTTCGTCCTCGGGTCGATCCGCGATTGCCGGCAAGAAGGTCCATTTGACGACGGGCAGGGCTGCGTTTCGCCGTCTCTGGGAGATGACGCAGGTGAGGGTGATGTTCTGACCCTCCTGGGCAACCGTGAAGGGCGATGGAGTGATGGTGGCGTTGATGGCCAAGCAGAAATCTGAGGACGAAGTTACATCTGAGTTACATCTGAGTATGTTTGGTGTCAGCTTCTGCCCTAGTCTCAAGACATTTCAGGTCTCTAACTGGTTTTATACCAGGATTTTATTGAATTTAGCTCTATTGTCCTTGCCCCTGCTGAAACAAACAAATTGTCACAGCAGTCTTCCATCACTATATTTCTCCATTTTTGATATGTTTCTCCAATAACAATAGTATTTTGATTTGGGTCAAAGTTTTTTTTGCAAATTCTTTTGCCCACGTCCAAAGTTATAATCATAAACTGAACTCTGAAAGGTCCAATTCCAATCTTGCCTCCTGTAAGAAATTCCAAAATATGCGTCTTCAATATATGTTGCTAAATTGATCACGTATGCAATTGTTTGCAAGGCGTCTGCAGTCTGAACAGTCGTCGCATTTTATCCGACTTCTACATCATTGACATGACATGACATTATAATTCTAAACTAAATCCAGACATAAGCAATGGATGGAATAATGATATAAATCATATCATGTAATCATATAAAAAAAGTCTATGACTTCAGTTGCAGTCGATGCTCCATGAAACGCTGTTGCTATTAGTTGTGCTTTCTTTTTCTTAGCTTCCTTAATCTTGTTATTTTGTGACAATCCTGTTGGCTCCCGTTTCTGAATAAACTTTGAAACGACCCATAAATGGCTCATTCCATTATTGTTTCCATAAACAGTCTGCTGCTGTGACGTCTGCGTTTTTCTTCTGTGAACGCAAGTCGTCTTTGTGCAAATTATTCACAAAGCAGTCTGATTGCAGTCGCATTCAATTGGCAGCATGAGTGACCTTGCAAAATAATACAATTTCAGCAAACAAGCTGGAAATGAGCATCAAGATTTTCTGTGAACATGAGTTTGGCCACAGACTTTTGCAGACTGTGGCAAAGCATGAAAATAAACGCTCACGGAACATCTCCATCCAATCCCACTGAGGCTTGAGATATTTTCCAAAGGAAATTTATTCAGACAGGAATTTGACTCTCGAGATGTATCCAGCTGGTAGAGACGTATTCGGAAAGGTTTGCAGTTTCATAATCTCCAAATATTTTCAGGTACCATCGATAATTTACTGCCCACTTCCCAATTTTCCACTGTTTTGTCTTCATTTATCAGATTAAATAAAACCCCAAAACGCACACATCAGCAAATCTGGTTCCATGACCAGAGGGAACGTCACCTTCCCTTTTCCCTCTGACGATGGGGTTATTTTTAGCACTCGTGACAACAAACACGGGTTCAGACAATGAGGAACAACCCTTGCTATTGCGTGTTGAATGGGAGTATTTATAACATTGTGCCAATGTAAGCAGTTCCACAAACCCCACCAGGTTACAAAAGTCAGTTGGGGGGCCATCACGTGGTGTAGGGGTAGAGCAGGTGCCCCGAAGACACAGGCTCCTCCACCTCAATGAAGCCAATTGGGGTTCAATTCTCGACCTGGGAAACCTTTGCTGCATGTCTTCCTTCTTCTGTTTTTCCTGTCTAAATACTGTAAACAAAGGCCATGAGCACCAACCTAGCACCCAACACCCCAACCTCAATGGGGATGGGGTTCAATTAGGGTTAGGAGTAATCTTAACCCTAATGCTTTAAAAACACGTCAGGAAACAATCAATGCCCAACAGAATAAAGAGATGCAAGCACAAATAAATGTTTTTAATGTTTCAATGGAACCCTGAACAGTTTTAAATTAATGAGAGAACAATCCCACGACACGAATACTCTCGAATTCCTTCTCATTTTTTGAATACGGGTCCAGTAGTCGTCCCCTAATTTTGGCCAAAATTCAACTCTACATCATCTCTGATTCTTGGTTTGCCTCAGTTAGTCTGAAAACCTTCACCATGTTAACTCCAGCAGAAGAAGTTAAGGGGAAAAGGAAATAAACAACAGCATTCCAAAACCAATATTCCTACCTCCAAACAATGTTCGGGTTAGCAGAGCAAAGACCAGAGAGGAGATCTTCATTTTCCACAACTGCAGCCTCCATAAACTCCAAGTTAAATGCGTCTCAAGAAAATTGTCCCCAGGTTTCCTCCTCCTCCTTCTCCTTCTCTTCTCCTTTTTCTCTTTTTTTCTTATTCTCTTCCTTCGACTGGGAGGTGAAATATGAAACACTGGACGCTCTGTTTCCACTCAGAACCTCCTTCCTTCCCTCCCAACTCTCCTCCCAGACAGTAGAAGCACATTTGGCTGCGTCGCGCACGCGGAGCAGACAAAAACAGACGTGCTGGCGTGTGTGAGGACACACGCAGACACACACACACACACACACACACACACACACACACACCCACCCACACACACACGGGCAAGCTTTAGTTCTAGTCAGAGAAGTGGGAAATGGAGCTTCCTGAGCAGGAATGGAGGTGTGTGTGTGGGTGTGTGTGTGTGTGTGTGTGTGTGTGTGTGCGTGTGTTGGGGTGTGTGTGTGTGTGTGTGTGTGTGTGTGTGCTGTTGAGATCATCTGTGAGCATATTGCACTTCCAGCTGTGCAGGTCGGCGGGCGCAGACCTCAGACAGAGCTGTTATTTTGGAACACAAAGACGGGACGACGAGGGTTGGCTTTGTGTGCAAAAATATCTCAGGTTTGACCCAATTAGTCAAAGTTTTATTGAACTCACCCCCAACATCAGGACGACACACAAAAAAAAGAGAATCATTTGGATCAAACCAAATTCATGTGTTGGAGTTGCCAGTCAAAGTCCAGATCCACGTCCGACCCTGAACACCGATGCTGTTACAGTCAAAAATAAGCACCAATAATTTGGGTTATTTAACCTATCATTAAAAAAAATAAATGAGAGTTCATATTCCATGGTCATATTTTCACCATGTTAATCATTTCAGACTGAATGACCTTCATGACCTAAATATTTGGCTTCAAAGTAAATATTCCACCTAAAGCGAAATATTTAACTGAAAGTGAGCAATCAAAATAAGAGCTTATAGCTAAAGTCCCATTGGCGGCCGTCACCTGTTGCTACTTCCAGGTAGCATCATGTAAATGAGCCGATTAAATTAATACTTAGCTTGCTATCTAAATATTTATCTGTAAATTGAATATTTAGTTCAGTACTAGATATTTCAAAGAGAAACATTTAGCTTGCTAACTAAATATTTAGTTTGAACCCGTTTGAAACATTGTGAAAATATTAATCCCCCTCCTCCTTTCTCCCCCTCATCTACTTTTTCGCTCTCTATGCTGGATCTCTGAATGGCCTGTATGTGTCTCCATCTTTCTCCCATTGTGTCTCTGGTTACAAGATCCCACAGTGAGTCATTGTTTGCAGCCCTGTCAGTTTTTGGGACTCTTTGTGGGCTTTCATCGACCCTCGGAAAGCAGAACGCTGGAGATCAGGGTGGCTTTGGACGTGAAGATAAAGGAGACAGTCTGTGGACGCCTCTAAATTGCTCCTAGTCATGGCAACAGTTGAACAAACACAAATGTTCCCCCTGACAAAGAAGAGAGCACTTTTCCAAGGACCCCATCGTTTTGAGAGTCAGCGCAAAATGTTGGAAATGATTTGCCGAATTAGGGCTTGATCCACAACGCCAAGACAATTTCTGATGCGTCCTGCTACTCTCCTAGGCTGATAGCTGGAACGGCGAGAAGTTGCCTCTTTATCTGTTGTCAAAGGTAACTGAGTAAAACAGTAAGGTTTTTTTTTTCTTTTCTGTTCATAGACAAAATCTCAAATTGGTTCCATATAAAAATAAATAAATAAATGGTGCCATAGAGATGTTGGCCTTTCAAATGATCCATCCATCCGTCCGTCCGTCCGTCCGTCCATCCATCCATCCATCCATCCATCCATTCATCCTACTAGCGAGATAGCTAGACAGTGCTAGCTCTTTAGATAATGCTAGCTAGTTATCTAATTAGCTAGATAGACAAGCTCGTTTGGCATTTTCTCTATTTTAATATTTTAGACATTGAATCATGGTGCATGCCAGTATGATTTAATTATTTTTATTAATTTCTTTCCTGATCTGTGACCAAGTGAATTGTGTTTATATGCAGAATTCACCAGCTATGAAAACGCCTCTTCACCCAAAGCAAAGGCAACTTATAGCCCCTGTTTGGAGATGATTCATCGGGGGAAGTTAATCATCAATCCGTTGTCTTCCATGCCGTTCCCGTTGCTTTCCTGTCGAATGTTTTTCCAGCTCCTCTTGTGTTTGGGTCCAATTCCACAATTTGGAGGCACTGCAGACGCTTGGTCAACCCAAAGCAGGTGTTGCCCAGACGCCTTCAGTGAACAGAGGTACACCAGAAGAATAAGGGGCTCGGAGTGTGTAGAAAGTGTAGCTACTTTTCTAACTCTGACTTCACTTAAGGGGGTGAGGTTTTCTTCAGTTTTCATGAGGAGGAAAAAGCTGAGCTTCAGCCAGTGTGTGGAGAACGGCTGAAATCATCCTTTTAAACTCGCCTCCATCTGCTAGTTATTACTCCCTGTTTGCATATTCGCCGTCTGAGTTATTAGAGAAGGTTTTCTCTGATTCTCCTGCATGTTTCCATTGTGGAATGGCTGCTATCAGAAAGCTTGCAAAGGTCTCATAATGTTAACGTCCACCAGATGCAGGGGGAGGTGAAACGGCACCGAAACACGGCAGGCCCAATGTGAGCAGCATGACACGGAGGTTAGACAGAACACACGCTTCACAGTGGAAAATGAGCGATGCAAGCTTTATATTTCATTCAGCTTCACATTCTGAGTTCTCTGCTGATCTGAATGTCAGGGTATTTTGAAGGTGGGTGCTGCCATCTGGTGGACAGGCTTAAAACCGCTGCCTGAGTGGAGTGCTCTTTCTTAGTAAAATTGCTTCCTAAAAAAACCCATCACAACACACACGACACATGTCGAAAAATATTTTATTTACAAAGTTTGCGAGACGAGAAAGAAGCAGTGACACATCAGCAGCTCCACGGTGACGCCTTTCAGGAGGTAGAGAAGGTGCAACACAAGACGTAGCATGGAGCCGCGTGGCTCCTCAGCCAGACGGCGCGTTGCCCTCTGCCTGACCTTTAGCACCTCTTGTCACTGGATACCGCTGCCAGCTGATTGGCTGAGCTGATTCAGAATGACAGATTGCGGCTGTGGTGAAAGGAAATAAGGCAAAACCAAAAAAACGATGATTGGAGATTGTTTATTGCTACAGAATATGCTAATTGACAGTGTCAGAAAAAATATTCACACCTGGTAAACTTTGTCAAACTGCAACCCCAGATTTCAGTGTTTTGTTGGGATTTTGTTTGACAGAACAACAGAGCAGTGAATAAATAGGACGTGGAAGGGAAAAAATTCTGAAATTTCTAGATTATTTTCTGGATTAGAAATCCGAAAAGCATGCCGAGAGTTTGCTTTCTGCTCGTTGCAGAACCACATTTCACTGCGCTTGTTGCTGCAGGTTTTTTGCGGTCTGTTTCTCCAAGCCTTGCATATCGAGACGCTAACCATGGCTGATGCCTGTCTGCAAACACACTCGAACGCAGTCAGATTGGGAAGAGAGCAACCATTAGGTCTGGACTTTAACTGGGCCAATTTAGCACATTTTGTAGCTCTGGCTGCTCCTGCACCCTAGTCTTAGATATTTTTTGTAGCCTCCAAAGATTTATTTATTTATTTACTTTTTAGCTCTGTCTAACCTCCCAACAGTTTTCCTCTACCTACAGAAAAGCTTAGGAGGTGGGGTCATGATGCCCCCACCACCATGTTAGCCCCTCTGTTGTTACGAGCTACAGATTTCTGTAGCTCCTCCAGAGCTGCCATGAAATCTTTTCACTGGTTCTGTTGTTATTGCTCTTTCCATTAGAAGTGGGCGGATGGACCTGAAATGTCAATAACATCAAAGCCAATTTTGCATTGGATCAATACTAACGTGATGAGATCGACCTGAAACTAATGGATAGTTTCAGATTCCATCTCGAAGTGTTGTTTTGCAGTTTCTCAACTCGATCTCGAAAAAAGGTTTTCTTTTCATTTGCTCTCAAATGCTAATTTATTTAGGAAAAATGCACACAAATCATGTTAATAGTAGGCTTATCACAATAACAAACTTTGCTGCAGGGGTGGGGTCCCAGAAGTTAATGTAATAAATGTTAATATTGATGTTTTGAGACCATTTCCAGCTAACATAATGTTAATGGTGTAACTGGAACTGGGAGACCTTTTAAATATTCAAAAATAAAAGACTAAAACAACAGAGACAACAAATAAAATGAATTATGAATTGCAAAATTGTCCTTTAAAAAATGAAGGGGCGGGGCTAGTGGAGACCAAAACACCAGACTGAAGAGCATCGTCATCCAGAAAGAAAGAAAAGAGAAAAATGGCAAATCACGCAACTGGAAATTGTTCAACTTGTTTTAATTTATCCTGCAATTAATTGATGTATTGCAGCAGGTAAAATATTTCGCAGACACTTATGAGCTTCATCCAAATTCAATTCTCTTCAGTTTGAACGAAACAAAGAGAACTGAAAGAAAAATCTGAAGGTCAGGAGTTTGATAATATACATCAAACTTTAATAAAAAGCGTCGGTATCAGTATCTGTATCTGCGATATGGCAGATATCACATTGATACAGATACTTCAGTATTGGGTCGATACCAAAATATGCAAAAATCACATGCCTGTACTTTCCATTTCCAACCTGACCCTGCTTCTAACTTCCTCCCTGACCTCTGAAGCCTTTACTAAAGGAATTCTCATGGTAATTAGATGGTCATTAGATTTTATTTGGTGGCATCAGAGTAAATAGTCACACTGTCTGTCCTGTTCCGTGTCGGTCCATCACATAAAACACTCTGAAATGTGTGACACGAGAGCTTACCTCTGAAGGTCTTCTCACGCTCGATTCTAAAGAGGAAGACGGTTTCACATCATGAAAAGAAGAAAAAAAAAAGTGTACAATGCATCTAATGCTTTGGGAGGATGAATGTGTTCATCTGTTCACCTGGAAAGTTTATCTCCGCTTGTTTCCTGATCATGCAGATCTTGGACAGAATAAACAAGAGGGACAGGAAGAGGCCGATCCCACCTCCGATCAAAGCGTACTTGAAGTCTGGAAACAAAAACAAGTGGCAGTGAACATGAGGCCCCCTCCTTGTCCCCCTGATTTCCCCGTGACCAAGCAGAAAGCCAGCTTGCTGAACGCCAAGCAAGCGCCGAAAGCGTTGAAGCGTGAATGAAGGAGACCCGTTTGATTTCGCAACATGTTTACTCGTCAGTCTGATTCACGGTGTCACGCTCCCCCGGCTGCAATGCGGGTTGCGTCGCAAGCGTTTGCAATCCGAATCCGGTGTATCTGGGAATCTTTCAGGGCCGGGAGGCCACAGCAGGTCAGAGTCGAAGCCGGATAACCAAGTAGAAGCATGAAAACTGGGACGGGTGGAGTGATGAGGATGATGGTTGTGTCATGATCAGCGGATCCATCCTGCAGGGTTTGGATGTTTCTCTGCAAAAACCCAAAACCTCACCAAGAAATAGTTTTAAATCAGTAGATTATTTAACTAATAGGACATTTTTTCATCACTATTAAGGAATTATTGACTTAAAAGAAGCTCATATCTTGCTTACAGGTTCCTTGTAAGTTCATTTTTCTCATTTCAGCTGTACTGACATGTCTGTTAAAAACTTAACCAAATATATTTAGTCAAAACATAACTAAATAGTGCATTTTGGTTGTTTATGCTGTCACTACACTTTTTGGGGTTGTAGTTAAGGTATTATTTGAGTAGCTGGATATATGGGTGAATGTTCAAGTCCATGCTCTCACTTCCACTTTCTAAGTCAAAAGCAACCTCTCTAGAAAGTAAAAGTGAGAGATTATAAAAAAACAAAGGCAACGTGTCATTTTCAGTGGAGATAAGAAGACATCTCTGTGAATGAGAGCGTTCAGAGGAGGAACTGTTGGTTAGAGAGACAGAAGTTAACCGGTCGACAGTGGGGTATATTTAGCAGCAGCGGCACACAGCTAGCACAGGACGGATTTAGTTGAGAAAACAGTTTGCAAGAAGTGTTGCAAGAAGTGTTCACCCAACAACAACATTTTTGATCTCTATACATAATTTATATGTAATTTGCTGTATTTGAGTTGCTTGATTTTACCCTCCAATATGGTGCATTCTGATCAACAGTTAGCTTACTGCTGCTCCTATTCACTATTATTGGATATTCCACACATACCAATAATCATAGAGGAAGCGCTTTGTCACCACCTAGTGGTCTGTGTTTTTTTTTTTTTTGTGAAACCAAAAGAAGTATTTCTTTTAGTGCATGCGTCAATAAGTTATCAACTCATTAACACATGCACTGTTTTTATTAACACATCATTTGCACATGCGCTAATGTCTCAGACCTGAGGCTTCTGTGGCAGATTGTGAAGTGACTTTGCTAATTTTCACACTAAATATCTACATTACCATCAGTTATTTCTTTTGCCTCATATATATAAAAAATATTTCTATTAAAAACTGTTTTAAAATAAAAGTATATTATAATACTACATGCTGTTCAGCTGCAGCTAACACTGTTAGCTCACTATTCACTGTTTGTTGACCCACCTAGCTTGTCGTCAGACTCTCCTCCATCTCCCTTCACTTTCACCAGCAGACAATCTGAGAAATGGAGATTTTGATGTATTATTTTCAGCACACAGACAGTGTTCGATATAAACAGGAAGACTGTAAACCCACAGCAGTTTCTGTCTCTGCCATCAGATAAGGCCGAGCTCTATTGTGACACTTGCTTTGCACACCTGCCTGCCTGGGCTGCATTGATGCACAAGCAGCACTTTCAGAAATAACATTTCTGGGTCAAAAGTTTGCAGCTGTAGATTTATTTTAGTTTTTTTCATCGTCTTTGTTTTCAGTTTAGTCAGCCGTATTCTGAACACTGATCAACCTGTTGTTCCTTTAGAGCTTCACTACTTCCTGTTTTTTTTTTTTTTAACAATCACAACATCTGGTGTCTGTCTTCTCTTTATTCTGCTGAGACGGAACCGGGCCGCTGCTTCCATGCTGCCATGTCGTCTGTGGTTAGAGAGGTAAACCTCCGACTTCTGGCTCCTACCTCAGATACAGTTTTTGGCAGTATTACTCACTTCTACATCTTTGCTGTCTCTATCTCACTGGGTGTCAAATTATGATCGAGTAACAAAAAGAAAAACCTCAACGCCAACTTTGCATGATACCCCAAACAACCAGGAATTGCTGACTTTGGTGAATAAAATTCTGCCTGTTTTTTGTTGTTGTTGTTGTTGTTGTTTTAATCTTCACTGAGTTCTGGTCAGCTGTCATTGATAGTTAATTTAGCCGAGCACAACGAGGGCAGAGGAGGAAAACTGAAATATATGGCCCCCCCAGCTGTTGGCTCTGGAACCAAATTAGGCGGAGTGGTGCTGTGGGAACTGCGCTGCGCTGCTAAAACAGTGCAGAAATGCTCAGTAAGGAGATCTCTCACAGCCACGCTTCTCACTCTTAACTTTTGCCGTGTGAGCTGCTGCATGGAAGACGCGCACAATCTAAACCGCGTGAGAGCAAGCGGCAGCGACGTGTTCCTATTTATGTGAAAAAAGAAAAATCAGTTCAGTCACATCGGCTCGACATGCTGAGTACCTTCAGAGTGTCAGATAAAGTTTCCAGTGGCCAAAGTGTGACCTCTGACATAACGGGTCGTGTCTAACAAGCAGTCAGACACATTCACTCCCACTGCTTTTGCCCTGACACCTTACACTAAATTAATTCACTCAATGTTACAAGACACACCAAAATCTGACATCTCAACAGTAGAAAAGAAAAAAAAAATTAATACTAGTTACAGTGCATTAGACATCTGTCTCTCAGATGTCTAATAAACAGCATATAATTGGTGCTTTGACGCTTTGGGATGTTCTAAAGCCTGCTGTGAAATATTGTTCACAGTTCATTTTTTAAATGTGTTATTTATTTTCATGAGCAATGGGATTAAATTAAAAAAACAAAAAACAAATCAAGCTGTGTGCAGGGTGCGCTTGTGCGACGGATTTATGGGCGTACCAGAAACGAGCTAATACAAAAATATTTGTCTAGAAAGCTTTTCTTCCCGAATAAATGTAATCAATTGAGATCTGCTTTTTGGATTTACTCAAGTTATTTCTGTCTGACTGACACGATTGAAGCTGAAGCCGGTAACTGGCTTTGCTTAAAACCCAATCTGGACCTCATCTAAGTTAATCATAGACACCCAGGTGAGTGAGATTATTTTTAAGGGCGATAAAGATGAAAAGCGGCTCATCGCTGCTTAGCTGCTTCGTAACAGTTTACAACGATCTTTAAATTTAACTAATATTTTTCTTCTTGGCTCGGCCGCTGTTTGGAGCGGCAGAGCCATGACTTGAGTCTGACTGAAAACCTGTGATGGGATCCTGGTGTGTTGGACTTGGAGTTTGTCACCAATGGTGAGCCTTTTAAAAGCCTGTTGAAGACGAGTGACTATTGAACAGGGTATGAATGCTTTTTGACATGTCGACCTTTAAATGCACAGAAACACTTGAGACACTTCGTAAAAAATGTCTGTGAATTAAAATGTCTAAGATTGTGACATAGAAACAAGAAGATTTCTGGTATTGATGATTCACCACAAAAATACAACAAACCTTGGTGTGTGACTGACACAGCAACCTATATTTCACCTTAGGAATATAACCACGATTATTCTGGGATTGTGCAAAATACATCAAATAAAAATTTTAAGAACACAGTCCTTCTTCTGGCAACCAACAATATGCTATGCTAATAGACTTTAATCCACATAGCACATTTTATTTTGGTGGTATCTTATTTCTGCTGGTCTTTCTACTTCGGAGTACAGACCTTCATAAAATTTGCCATCACATCAGTGTCAAAGAAGAGTTTCTCCTTTTCAGAGTTTTGAGGGTTTTTTGTGTGTCTCAGCTGGTCGTTACAATCTTCTAAAAATAATTTAAATCCAATCTGTAGCAAAAAGACATCATTTGTAATTCAGGGCTCTAATTTGGCCACATCTTTGTGACTTTTAGTCTCTCGACTTGTCAGGGTGACGACTTGCTGCCGTCACCCCGACTCGCCAGTTTGTGGTTTTGTTTCCTTTGTGTCCTAAAAGTGATGCAGCTCTTTCACCAGAGGAAAACGAGGCGTTGGTTTTACTCACCAGTAATCAGGAGAGCTTTGAATACGGCCGGCATGCACCCAGGGAACTGATCTGTCCTCATCTCCGGGTGTTTCTGCTTCGCTGACTGACTTCTCAAAGAGCTCTGACACTTTCTTACGAAAGACTTGCAGCTTCCTGTGCTTTGTGGTCTCAGAGCGCTGCTGATTAAATGATTATGTTCTAAACTCTGCGCTCAGCCTGCAATGCTTTCTCTATAACATCTTCACGTATTCAGCATGTGGACAGATGTGGCTTTTGACCGCAGCGCTTCAAAAAAGTAGAGCCAGTTTAGTTTCTTTTGTTTGTTATTTTTCTAATATCAAAATTGGGTTGAAACATTAGACGAGCAAAACAGAACGAAACATAAAAGTGATTTTAGGGGGCAGACAGCATATACAAATATAAAGTGAATAAAATTTCGTCTTTTCATTTTTTTTCTTTCAAACACCGTCAAGGCATGTGGTTCAGATTAGTGGGAGGACACAATTTCACATTTTTAGTCAATTAAGATGCAGGGTTTGTAATTAGTCAATCGCAATTACGTGCATTTTAATTGAAAACCATGACGACAAAAAAAATCAACAAACCCCCTTTGCTGCTAAATTATTTCATGAACAAGCATATGAGCTCAACAACAAATATATCTATTGTTCTTAATCTGTTATTCAGGTTATTCAACCATCAGTTCAGTGCAAAGTGTTAAAATACTATTTCATCTTTCAAGTTTTTCTGAGCTGCTGAAAATTAAGTTTACATCACATCAGACCAATAAGAAAAACTCTCTCTTTTCATTCAAACATATTTGTTGAAACTATATATAACAGAATGTTATGCGGAAAAAAATTGAGCTACTTTACCTTCACCTAGTGCTCCCTTTGGTAATGAGAGACAGCCAATCAGAGCCAGGAGGCGGGTCTTAGAGCCGTCAATCACAATCTGGTGTGGCGCTGCTCATCCTCCCTCACCCGCAACGTCCCGCAACGGCGAGTTGCTTCTCCACAATTAGCGCACTTAGCAGTGCGTACATGTGTTTTTATTGGTAGCACTAAGACCCTCCTCCCAGCTCTGATTGGCTGTTTTTGGTCTAGAGTGGCGCTTTGTTCCAGATGCAGCTCAAGGTTAGAGAACGACCTTTTCACAGATTATCTGCCTCACAGCAAACTGTCACAATATGGAAACAGTTTTAATAGATATGTAAAAAAAAAAACTTTTTTTTTTTAACATATCTACAAAAAGTTGCATTCTGCAGCGCTAAATCTCATTTTCCAAAGCACATTTTAATCTGATAAACGAGCTATATATAACAGAATCTTTGCTAATTGCCTCATCAGGCTTGGTTGGTTTCAATTATTGCAAACTCCAGACGCAGCAACACAAACTAACCTCCTTTACACCTGCTGAAAGCCAGCATCGCGAGTTGCTTCAACAAAGAAGATAGCATCTGTGCTACGTCCCAAAGGTCCTCATTCACAAGGTTCACACGGTTTCACTTCTACACTAACCTACTTCTCCACATCTTGACTTCACAGAACGTCGTCCTCTATTCAGTCCGTGACAGAGAGGGGAAGTCCGCTGTCCAGTTCATGGCACATCAAAAACCCACACATAAGTATCTGCACCTTTTTGATGTGTTTTATTGGGATTTTATCGGACATAGCAATAAATATTGTCATAAAATTGTGAAGGGAAAAGAACCTAGCTTTGTTTTCGACCATTTTGTGCAAATGATCATCTCATGCATTCGTATTCACCTTATTTTTTTAGAGCACATCTATCAGCTGTTTACATTTATTTTTGCCCAAGCTTGGATGAAGTGTTTAAGCTCAGACTCTCAGTTGGATTTCAGTCTGGACTTTGACTGGGTCATTCCAACACATGATAAACCTCCTCCCCCACTTCCATAAATACGAAATTCTGCTGCCAGAACGACAGACGATTTACAACAGTAGCATAACTTTGTCTTTGTCTGTTTGTTTAAGTATGTTTAAAAGAAAAACAGAAGAAAAAGAAGAAGCGTTAGGGTTACGTTTCTTGCAAGACACTGTACATATTCAAAAACTGCATTAATTATTATTCTATGTTTTGATAGTTTTTATGGATACACAATGGTTTTTCATAGAGGTTTTTGCAGGAAGCATGAGTTTGTGAAACTGCTGTACATGTGATAATAATGTGCAGTCATCATTACAAGGACAGATGCATTAAAAATGTTACTTTCGTTTTTGGCTTATGGGAAAAAAAACCTGACAATCATTTTCTGTATCATTTTACCGAGGTTGAAGCAACAGTTGCAGTGTTTGCACATTAATAATGTAGGAAAGACGCGAAAAACAACTTTATCGGCATTAATAAACAGACGGCTGTCAAAATCTTTAACACTTGCATGGAGCCACACAGAAGAGCTCAGAGAAATAAAAACATCTCCACTTTCGGAATGCGCAGAGATGATGATCCGTGACATCAATCACATATATTATCCTCCCACAAGTCAACACAACACGGCTCCTAAGTTTCAGCATAATCACACAGCAACAACAGCTGCATCAGTCCTAAAACTAGACTATCCGGTCACACGTTTCTACATCGCGGCCTTGTAAACAGAGCTTGAGCAACAAGAATGAGTCCAGCCCTGCCTTGGTCATGCCAGTCAGCAGACGTCTGTGCCCGACAAGCCCAATCTGGACTTTTGTTGGGCAATGTGCTACATCAACCACTCGTTTCTTTGAGTGACTCAGGCAGTAGAAGTTGGCAGCTGAATATAAGTCAGTGATGTGACCGGCTAAGTTCACCCTCCAGCCACTGTATATTGTCCAAACTAGTCATTCCCTCTTCTATGACAAGTTCAAAGGTACCAGACAGTAAAGACAAGATCGATGCAAGAACCAATCGGACCTGAATGCTTGGTTACAAAAATAACCAATGACAGTGTCCATTTCATGGCGGCTGGCCCGTCTTACCCTGCCACTCGACACCTACTGGTTATTCCAATGAGAGGCATCAAGCCGGGTCCAGTATTGCTGCTCAGTTTGGCCACGCTGACTTGTGCGTCTATTTTGGTACCTTGTGAGCTGGCGTTGAGCAGGCCGGCCACACCAGCGCATTTGAACATGGATCCAGGGGCTTGACTCACTGAGGTGAGTTTTCTTTGCCCTAAATCTTAAACACGCAACTTTAGAAAAAAAGAAGTAAGTGACGAGGAATTACTAACTGGAACATTGGCTACAGGTGCTGCTCTGGATTGCTGGACTTAACTCTGGGGACTTGCTCTTAACCGTGCGTTATTGTGGGGGAGACCTCCTGCTGTGAGCATGACACACCCATCACCAAGGTAAGAAAAAACAAAAATGAAATGGTTTAAAATGTGATAAATGGCCGACGGTGATTGTTTTATAGTGTTTTGGCTAAACACTCATGTGTTTTCTGACATTTAAACCACTAAATAGACATGTTGTCTTATTCATTTCACCCATAATGTAACATCTACAATGAAAAGGAATATCTGCGCTTTATAGTTTGAGTCGTTTTACAGTACAGTAAGTTTTGCTATCTCAGTTTGCGAGTATAAATACACAAGCAGATGCTGGGAAAGTACCGAGGCTGCTAACTGATATCTAGTTATGAGAGGTAGGAGGTTGCTGGCAACCAAAAGGTCCTAGAAAGCCAAAATATTCAGCAAGTCTGGCCTTAGATACAGTGAAGTCAATAAGGTCTTGAGACTTTCACCTGGTGAACTGAACTGTCCGGATATCCTGAAAAAAGACATTAGTAATAGTTCCCTGACTGAGTTGTTGACATGTGTAGAAATCCCCAGAGTGGTGGAAAGCTAACTGCCAGCTAAATGGACAAAATGTTTGAGCGATTAAAAGTCATTTTAGTGATTAAAACCAAGTAAAAAAAACATTTTTATGCGATGCAGTTCCATTTAATTGAAATTAAATTACTATAATCTATTGTATCAATAAAAACTCACATTATATATTTACCTCCTTCAAGTACGATGTATATTATCGAACAATAAATCACAAAAATTTAAAAAGAAACTGTTTAGTCTGTGTCAGTTTTCTCAGGTCACAACTTCAGAGCAGTGGAAAGTTCACTGGTAGTTAAATGTAAACTCAACTTGAAAGTGCTTGTCTCTAATGAACACAATGCTATATTATTAAATACAATGCAATGCTTCACATAGAATCTGTCTTGACGCTATTGCAGATGCTAACATTTACAGTCTTTCCTTATTTTCACTCTGAAGTAGCAGAGCTAAGGAAAATAAATGACTCTCAAACTAACCCAAACTAACCCTAATTAACAAAAGGCTTTTGTTGAGTTTGCTGCTTCTTTTCTCAGCTGTCCACCAATATACTGACTTTAGTCATTTCAAACAACTTTAACTAAAAAAGTTTACATTCATCACTTGCAGAACTATTATAATGGATATGAAATGTAAACCTTCACAGGACCAATAGGTTGCATGTAACTATAGCTCTGTTAGCTTGGATTGCTGGATGCTGGATGCATCTAACTGTGATTTAGCATTGATTGCTTCCAAACAATATTGGTGCCTTGCAACTGATGATGTTGAAATAGTTGAACAGTGTAGACATTTAAACAATGCTAACACAACAACGTGCCTTAAGGGTATGAACCTTTAAAGTTTTTCCATTTCGATTGCTGAAATCAACTGGTCTGTATTTATTAACAGGCTTCCACCATTCGTTCAGCTGAGAAAAGTTCCACAGACAAGAGTTGAGTGGCAGAGCTATAAACATTTTTGGTTAAGTTTTTTTGAAGGCTAAATTTATGAAAAACAAAAAACAAAAACAAAAAAAAAACATTTGTTCGTTTGCCAGTGACTCGATGATTTATCTACTTTTCTACAAACTCACTGCCCCTCCCCCTCAAATAATTCATATTCATACTTTAGGTCAGGGAACAACTTGACAGAAGTTCCCTTTGAATAAATCTGAGCATGTCCAGGAAGTTGTTGACAAAGGAAAGTATACATTCAACAATGATTTGTCTCAATCACCCACTTGACGTCAGAACATTTGTGGACATGGCAATGCTTTTGCTTTCTTCTGTTTCATT